ACAGGAATGGGGTGAACTCTGACTGTCACTAGGTGGAAATGGAATTTCAGGCTCCTCACTTGACCTTAGATGATCATATTTTTAGGCCCTGGTCACCAGTGACAACTTCCGTGGGGAAAAAAGTTGCTTGCCCTGTGGGACTACGGGACAGGACCACCACCATCCACGGTTCAAGGCCCATGGAATGCTGATGGCTCGACTGCGGGAGCTGATAAAGCAGCAGCTGGCATGTCTCTGCCTGAGACAAAACGGACACTTTGCTGCCTGCTCCCTGGCCAGGTTGCAGAAGCATTGTCTGCAAACTTATCAGGGAGTTTATGTTCCTAGCTTGTCCTCCCTTCCTGTCTGTGAACAGCTTGGCTGATGTATGAACGTTTCTATATCTACCCTCAAATAATTGTAAAACTGTCCCTTTGTGTGAATTTGTCATGAGTTGTAGGCTACGTGGCAGGAAAGGCATTTCACCGTGCCTCAAATAAAGTTCTGGGCCCTGGAGAGTCTAGTGCTGCCGGTCCCCCTGTGCTCCAGCGGTGCCTATCCCTTTTGTAGCTCTTATCTCTAAGTTTTCTGGTTGCAGACCGTGCCCTCTTGAACCTGTTCAATATGTAAGGTAAGAGCTGTATTCTATTTATCTTACAAACTTCCATATATAATACGTTTTAAAAATTCTTGTATTTCCCTGCCACTTCCCAATTAACCTCTTAAATGGCTTCAGGTGCCTCTGGGGAAGGATTGGGGAGAATATTTCAAGAAGGTTCCGCTTCAAGAGGATTCTGAGTCCTGTGAACGGACTAGGATTACAGACCGTAGGAAAGGAACTATACTTTTCCATCTCCATAGCGGATGTCAGACTTCTGAAATCTACCTTGTGAGTTTTTTCTTCCTCTATAATTATGTAAGTCAAGGAACAACCTATTCAGCGGTAACTCCCTCCTCGCTAGATGCAACATGATTATTGTCAAAAGTCTCTGCTGATCAAGGCACCCAAATTGCCTCTGAGGCCTGGCTGCCCATTATGCCTGCTCTACTCTTAATAGTCAAGGGTGTTGCCAAATGGGCTTCATGTTTCACAAATTGTGATTTCCATTCATAGTAGAGAGGTCAGTTTTATGATAACATGTGTTCATAGTCCCAGAATGGCATGCGCTGTAAGGGATTCTGTTAGTAAATTATATGTTTAATGCTTATCTATTCAAGATGAGACTCTCACTCGGTTTTGTGTGCTATTGTGAATTACCTGATGTGGTTTATTTAATCATATTTACATACTACTTCTGTAATAAAAATATTTAATTTATAAGAATAAAAACAAAGACATTTGAATGTAAATTTATGAAACTTAGTAATGATATATTTTATATTGAACATTTAATGACTTTTTCTAGTCTTCCAAAAGACTAAGAATTTGTCATAAACAAGTATGATTCATAGGCCACTGCAAATAGGTCTGCACGGCACACATATTCTTTAAGGTAAAAGTTACTATCTTATGTTCCAATATATGAATTCTGTTACAACTGGATAAATAAAATTTGTAATTTTGTCTTACCTACGAAGAAAGATCTGCTAAGAAAAGATACCTATTAAATTGATTTTAAGTAGGGAATGGTAATTTCTCAGGAAATAATTGTCACTCAAAACCAAAGTCCCGCCATCTAGTCAAACCGACTCAGAGCGACCTTATTGGGCAGGGTAGAACTGTTTGTTAATTTCTGAGACTAACTCTTTATGGGAGTAGAAAACCCAGTCTTTCTCCTGAGGAGTGGCTAGTGGTTTTGAACTGCGGACCTTGTAGTTAGCAGCCCAATGAGTAACCACTATGCCCCCAGAGCTCCTCCAGGTGGGAATTAAGAGCCTCTGAATATGTAAATCCACAAATAAACACATATACAATTTGATGGTACAGATAAAATAACCGTTGAGTTTCAGAGCACCAGGTGTTAATAGAAAAAAAGTAGCAGGAAGTAACTATAGATGACTTGGCCCACGTGGGGTTGTAAGCAATTTGGCAGAGTTTAAACCCAAGAGGCCTGGGTTCCTGGACTAAAGGCGGCCTTTGGAGAACTCTCCCAGGTAATTAGTTCTGTAGCTCAGTCTTCCACTCTATAAGTTGTCTCCAGTCTCTGATTCTATTTCTGCCTGAAAAGACCGTCTGGGGCTGATGGCTGATTTTGTCCGATGTGGGGTGAGATTGTAGAAGCAGGTGCAAGTAGAGATATTAGAGCTGAGAACAGGTCTAGTTCTAGAACTCATTTACAAGGTTGAAAATATCAGGCTTTTTATTTGGAATTTTGTTACCCAATTATAGAGAATAACAATGACTAAACTTTGGGCTGATAGGATAGAAATCTATAGTAGGTTCTCGGAGAGCTAGTCAAGTCTCATTTGGATTCAGGCCCTATTTACCTTAAAGAAACTTTTGCTTCAGTCACTGGTCTTATTTGCTCTCTCACCTAGTCTTCTTTCCCTCCTACTTTGCTGTCTGCCCAATTCATCCAGCAAGTCACAGTTTGTTAGAGAGACTTGCTAGATAAGGAGGTAGCTTCTGATCAACTAGATATACTCTCTAATAGCTAAAGAAAGACACCGTGTCTTAGGGAGATGGATCATGCAGGCACCACACTGCCACAGGTGACAGATTCAGTTGTTCCAGGTAGGAGGGAGAGGGGGATTGCTCAGGTGGACAAGGCAGGAGAATTCCTGAACAGGTCCAGGGAAACTTCTCTGAGAAATAAAGAACGGGGCAGGGGCATTTAGGATAAATGGAACTTGTCCAAGCACCCTTTTGGAAAGACTCCCAGCTTCCCCCATCGCTCCAGCCAAACACATTCTCTTGGCTATTATCTTTATCAAAGCCTCCATTGCTTTCTAAAGGCTGTTCAATGCCCAACTTCTGATCATGTTGGAGCTCTGGTTTTTCCCTTCTTGTCTTCTTCATCTGTCTTGTCTATGGGGCACACAGTGTACCCTTGTCCTTTTTTGGGGCCACTACTTTCCTATTTACTGTAGGAGAATGGCACTCCTTGTGGAAGTTTGTTATTACGCAGCATTTGTGTGGCCGCTCAATGTATAGGAAGTAATTGTCCATTCAAGGAAATATCTCCAACAGACTGTCTGTGCCTGTCCCACTGCATTTCCCTCCACTCTCCTTTCAGGAAAGAGAAGTCAATTCAGTGGAGCCCCACTACATTTGCTAAGAGAACCTGTTGCTCATAGAGCATTTAAGCCCCAGACGTTGAAATGCAGAGAGAGAATGAGACAGTGAGTTGATAGAATTTATATATATTAAATTTTTTTTAGAATTTATATTATTGAGCTAAAAATGTATTACTGGTGAGCATGTAGCCACTTTATCATTCTCCTTTATCTTAATTTAGTTTTGTAAATATTATACATTTACATAGTTTTAAGCTCCAAAATCCTATTAGGCTTAAATTAGTAATCAAGTTCCCCTCCCAACCTCATCTTTGATTCCTTCACCCGAGAAACAATCACTTTAGCACTTCTGTTGCTGCTTCCTTACTATTTACCTCCATATAAACAGCATGCTTACATGGCTAGTTCTTGACTGATATTTTTACAATTTTTATGTTATCCACTGATTTTAAAAATATAGGTGAACATTTGCTTTTCCTACACAGATCCCATTATACGTATTCAAACATCTGATTTTAATAGTTTATCATGATTTTTAAGATACATGCTTTGTGTTTACATTATGATGATCATGTAAATATATTTAATAAATGAAATATATAGAATATACAGTTGTTTTACGAGATTTTTTCCCCTCTCTAGAGTTGTCTGTGTTTTGGGTTCCTTTGTTTGGTTTTTATTACTTTCCATAAGAAATATAATTATTTCAAAACAATTTTCTTTCTTTTTTTTTTCCCTGTGATAATTCCCTTCTGGTGCCCACTATTCCTTGGCCCACCTAGATCCCTGGTGTTCTAGTAATTTTCACAGGTGACAATGGGTTCAAGAACCTCATTTCTTGCATTCATATTTGTTTCAGCACTTTCACTGAAGCCCACATTTCTCTATTTATGATGTATTTGCTCATTTTGGTGATCTTTCTTTAAATAGCTTTCTGCAAACTATTTAATATAAAGGAAATCTTTAGAGGTATTTGAAGGTCCTAATAGCTTTTTAAAAACCCCTATACAGTTTTGATTTATTTGCTTATAAAATTCTGATCAGAGTAATTTGACAGGGAAGTCTGTTCTTAGCAAGTTCCATCACTGCTTACACACAAAATCTCTAAACACTTTTTATTGTTTCAATCCCAAATTGGATTAATTCTGAATGAAGAAGAAAATCTGGGCATATGTGTAGAATTATTGGATGCAAATAGGAGAGATTCATGAGACTTCACTTTTTGTTCATTACATAGCCTTTCATTTAAGTCCTTGCCTGTAGCATGGTGTGCCTGCCCAGGCTTTGTCCAGAGCCTTTAGAATTTACCAAGTTTAATTCCAACACAGAATAAACATCTCGTTTTCATGATGGGTTAGGGGAGTTGTGCCTAGACAGATAGATTATAAAAGGGAATCCAAGAGTCTAACTGCTTTCATATAGAGTTTTATGCCATTCTTATGAAGCCCAGGCAACCTCTAATTCTTGAGACTATTTGGGTTCTACAGTAAAAATTCACTTTGATTCCTGGCTTTATCTAGAAGCTATTCATTTTGCCCCAAATGCTTAGTTGATAGCAATGGGTTTGGTGTTTGCTTGTTCAATATTCATTCAGCTGCTTTCAAAATGTTGTTACTATCTGTCCTGTGCTACTATTCTCTCTCTTATGCTTTCTATGTTCCTGATGCTTTTATTCTCTTACTGACCTTTTTAGTGGGGTATTCTGAGGAAATTCTGGTAATGTAGGTATGGAATTTGATACACTAAGCCACAACGCTCAATGAAAATATTTCTATATAATCTGTATTTCTCTTTTTATCTATTAGTAGAAAGAAAAAAAAAATCCACATTAGCTTACTTCAGGAATGACTGGCTCCAACCACACTGGTGTTAACCATATGGTCTTCTATCTGCTGGGCATTCCAGGCCGGGAAGACCTACACATGTGGATTTCCATCCCCTTATTCATCTCCTATGTCTTTGCTCTCCTGGGGAATGGTCTGCTCATCTTCATAATCCTCAACAAGGGTCGCCTCCATGAACCTATGTATCTTTTCCTCAGTATGCTGTCTGGACTTGACATTGTCTTTGCTACCACCACACAACCCAAGGCACTGGCCATTTTCTGGTGCAATCACAGGGAAATTTCTCTGAACGGCTGCATTGCCCAGCTCTACTTCCAGCATACCTTCTTCATCTCGGAGTCAGGCATCTTACTGATTATGGCATTCGACCGCTACATTGCCATATGTTACCCTTTGAGATACACTACGATTCTCACCCACTCCGTTATTGGGAAAATTGCTGCGGCCATTTGTACCAGAGCACATTGTATAATTTTCCCCTGTATATTTCTTCTGAAGAGGCTAACTTTTTGTAAAACTAACATCCTTCCACATACATTCTGTGAACACATTGGCTTGGCCAAGTACGCCTGCGATGACATCCGCATAAATATCTGGTATGGGTTTTTTGTCTTAATGTCCACTGTTATCTTAGATATGGTTCTCATTTTGGCTTCCTATGCGCTGATTCTCCATGCTGTCTTTCGCATTCCTTCGGAAGAAGCTCGCCACAAAGCTCTCAACACATGTGGCTCCCATGTCTGTGTCATTGTCTTATTTTATGCGCCTGCAATATTCTCTGTTCTCACACAGCGCTTTGGACGCCACATACCTCTACATGTTCACATCTTGCTGGCCAACATCACCATGGTTGCCCCACCTATGTTGAATCCCATCATTTATGGGGTCAAGACTAAGCAGATTAGAGAACAATTTCTTTATTTGTTTTTTCCAAAGCAGAAATGACTTTGGGGATGGCAGAATCTGGTTACTCAGAACGTATGTGCTTCCGTCACAGGGAACAGGCGAATAAGAACGGAATCACTAGGAAAAATGGTTTGTTGAATTCTGGATCTCTGGAACAACTTACCTGACTGAGATTGTGGGCCATGCCTTTCGCATATATTGGAAAGCAATGTCTGTTGGTGGACTGAATTATCTTCAACTCAATATATGGGGAATAAACAGGTTGTTGTCTAGTTGTTGCTCTGCCATCACGTTTTTTCTCACTCACAGAGACCCCATGAGCCATCCTCACAGTTGTTCTTAAGTTTGGGCTTATTGTTGCCACCACTGTGTCAATCCATCTTGTTGAAGACCTTCCACATTTTGCTGACCCTCTAGTTTACCAAGTATGATGTCCCACTCCAGGGATTGGTCTCTCTTGATAACGTATTCAAAGTCTATGAGATGAAGTCTTGCCATCTTTGCCTCTAAGGAGCATTCTGGTATTTCTTCCAAGACAGGTTTGTTTGTTTTTTTGAAAGTACTTTCAATATTCTTACCCAGAGCATAATTCAAATTATTTAGTCTTATTAGTCTTCCTTATTCAAGGTCCAACTTTCATATGCATAGGAGGTAATTGAAAACACCGCGGCTTGGGTCAGGCATACCTTAGGCCTCAACGTAACATCTATGCTTTTCAACACTGTAAAGAGATCTTGTGCAGCATATTTACCCCATGCAATGTGTCCTTTGATTTCTTGACTGCTGCTTCCATGAGCATGGACTGTGAGTCCAAGCAAAACAAAATCCTTGACAGCTTCAATCATTTCTCCATTGATCATGATGTTACCTATCAGTCCAGTTGTGAGGATTTTGGTCTTCTTTACACTGAGTTGTAATCCATACCGGGGAAATCCTTGATCAATTTATCCTCACTTACAGAAAGCAAGGCTCTACATATGCATATCACGGGATGTTAACAAGCCTTCTCTAATCCTGAAGGCACATTCTTCAGTTTACCCAGTTCCTGTGGTCATTTACTCAGCATACAAACGGAATACGTATGATGAAAGGATACAACCCTGACACATATCTTTTATGATTTTAAACCCTGCAGTAAGCCCTTGTTTTGTTCCCACAACTATCTCTTGATGCATGCACAAGTTCTGAATGAGCACAATGAAGTGTTCTGGAATTCCCATTCTTCTCAAGATTATTCATAGTGGTTTAAAAAAATACCCACACAATTGAATGCCTTTGTATAGTCAATAAAACACAAGTAAGCATCATTCTGGTATTCTGTTTTCAGCCAAAGTCCACTGACATAAGCAGTGGTATCCCTTGTTCCACATCCTCTTCTGACTCTGCCCTGAAACTCTGGCAACTCCCTGTCCATATAGTGCTGAAATTGTTGTTGGATAATCTTCAACAAAATTTTACTTGTATGTGATATTGATCTCATTCAATCATTTGAGAATTCTGTTGGGCCACCTTTCTTTGAGATGGGTACAAATATGGATTTCCTCCAGTCAGTTGGCTAAATAGCTGTCTTCCAAATTCCTTGGCATAGACGAGTGAATGCTTCCAGTGCTTCATCAGCGTTTTGAACATTTTAATTGGTCTTCCTTCAATTCCTGAACCCTCTTTTGACTAATGTTTTTAATACACCTTGAACATCTTCCTTCAGTATCATTGTTATTTTTCAAAGATCTAGATGAGGCACTACTTCTTTAACATATCATTAATCCTTTTAACAAGGACATTTAATTCTTTTACATAGTTTTCCATACAAAAACAGAAGGAAGAAAACAAAAATTAAAACTTCCCATGATCCCAAGACCAAGAACAATTTTCTATTATCATTTTGGTGTATAGTCTTTTTGATTTTATATATAACTCCTATTTTAGCTATAATTACACAGACATTCACACTTTTTATATAATGTGGTACCCCGCATTCAGACATACTCCTATCTATGGTGATCTTTACATACACCTTCACCTCTTCAATTATTTTAATGACTATATTGTACATATTTTAATTGTATATTAAGAAAGTGTAATTAAAAATGCTTTATACAGCACTAAATTTTTTCTCTTTTTTATTAAAGATGGTTTTATTGGGGGCTCTTACAACTCTTGTTACATTCCAGGCATCGATGACTCATTTTTTTAGTACAGTGACTCCGTGTATTTCTTCTTTCCATTTTCTTTTGATGCTTCCTGCATCATTTGATATTTTGCCCAGAGAATCTTTCAATATTGCCATTTGAGACTTGATGTTTTGTTTTTTTTAAAAAAATTCTTTCAGTTTATGATGTGCTGAGCATGTTCTTCTCTCTTGGTTTTCTAATTCTAGGTCTTTGCACATTTCAACATATTTTGTTTTCTTGAGTTGTCCTTTGAAATTTTCTGTTCTGTTCTTTGATTTCATCATTGCTTCCATGTGCTTTAGCTACTCTACAATTGATAGCAAGTTTCAAAGTCTCTTGTGACACTCATTTTAATCTTTTGTTTCCTTTCTTTTTAAATGACTTTTTGCTTTCCTCCTCAATGATGTTCTTGATGTCCTCTTAAAGCTCAACAAGTCATTGTTGTTCAATGCAGCAAATCTGTTCTTGAAATTCCACTGGGATAGACTCAAGGTCATATTTTGGCTCTCATGGACTTGTATTAATTTTATAGGCATCGATGACATCCGGCGTGTTTGTACATGTGCTGCCTTCATTCTTTACTAGACAGTTACCTTCCATTGAGCCCTTGGTACCAGCTCCTCTTTTTATCCCTCCCCCAACCCTCATGATCCCTTGAGAGATTGTAAATTATTATTATTTTCGTATCTCACACTGACCGCTGTCTCCCTTCCCCCATGTTTTCTGTTGTTCTTTCCCCTAGAGAGGGGTGAGTGGTTGTGTGTCAATCATTGCTATCAGTTCCTCCTTTCTCCCTTCCTCTCCCCCCTTCCCCCTTCTCTTTTTGTTTTCGTTTTCTCACTCCTGTTCCTGGATTCTGTGTGTCGTGAGCTCTCATCTCTTATCTATACATGTGTACATGCTCCGGGCTAGTCTGAATTGAGCAGCAGCACTGGGGTCATGGTAGTGGGGAGTGAGGAAGCCTCAAGGAACCAGAGGAATATTGTGTATTTCATTGATGCTTTACTGCACCCTGGTTGACTCATCCCTTCCCTGTGACCCCTCTGTGTGGGGATTGTTCCATTGTCTACAGATGGGATGTGGGTCTTGGTTCCAACCCCCCTCGCTCTCAACAACATGCCTTTGTTTGTTTGTTTGTTATGTGTCTTCTGATGCCTATTGCCTGGTCCTGATGACTCCTCATGATTGCACCGGCAGTGTGCTCCTTCCATGTGGGCTTGTTGCTTCTCTGCTAGATGGCCACTTGTTTAACTTCAAGCCTTTAAGACCCCAGATGCTATATCTTTTAATAGCTGGGTACCATCTGCCTTCTTCATCACATTTGCTTATGCACCCATTTTGTCTTCAGCGATTGTGTTGGAAGGATGAGCATCTCAGAATGCTGATTTGTTAGAACAAAGTGTTCTTGTATTGAGGTTGGGTATGAGCAGAGGCCCAAAGTCCGTCCACTACTTCAGGGTATTGCTGCATAAATATACATACATAGGACAATACCTCTATTTTTGTGGATGAGTGTATTTACATATGTGCACACCTATGCTTATACCTCTACCCATTGCTTTGCTTCCTAGGTCCTTCCTCTGTTTCCTTTTACCTTCCTCTTGCACCACCATCACTTTCCCCCTATTTCCATCTCATTTTTACTTAGCTAGCTTGCTGTTGCTCCAACACCGCCAGGACCTCTATCTCCTCCTTGTTGTGACTCTAGTTCCATAGCTGTTCCCCTGTCTATGGCGCTGCCTGCACACGGCACCCTTCCCTTGCCACCCTCTTCCCCCAAGCTCCCCCAGCACTGTTGGTCCTGCTGCTTACTCCTCAGGCTTGCTTCCCATGCCTGTCTTATGTAAGAAGGCAAACCGATTATGACATAGACCAAACAAACAACAAAACCCCCAAAAGATTGAAAAAATAGACATAATTCCAGGTCTGTTCGCTGACCTTCATGACTTTGTGGGGGAGCTCTGGGAACTGGCCCTCCCAGTCTGAAGTCCATTTTTGGTGTTCTTCAGGGGTTTAGTAGCTTTGATTTGCTCCAGTTGCTGATCTGTTATGTTCCCTTCCTGGTTCACCTTTCTTTCTTAATTTACAAAGTTGTTATTCTTGGGGTTCCTTAAGTTGGAATGGACAATCTATAGTCATGTTTGCTCCTTGGCTGCCCAGGAAATAGCAGGTTATTTGTTGTAATGACAACTGGAAGACTCTTGGGAAGCATAAAGAAGATCACTTAGTTAAGTGTCTTGTAGCCTTTGTTCCATGCATATGTAATTGGACTTCAAAAGACTTCATGGAAGAAATAGGTTTTCTCCATGAACTTTTTAAAGGCCCCTTGTATTGTTTTCATTGTTATTATGTAAAAAAATAAAACAACATCCCTCCAGAATCCGCCCCCCCCAAATTATGCTGAACAGACTTTCAATAATTGAGATGTGATCAATTTAGCTTGCTTCCCTCTGACCTTCGGGTCTTGGGACTCGGACTGCAGTCTATCACCTCACTTGGTTTCACCAGCTCCCACAGCCTTGTGCACGAGGATGACCCTCCACACAGTTGTCTGAACTTTGGACTTGAAACTTTACGGCACCCACAAACACGTGAATCATTTCCTTAACGTTTCATGAGTTTCTGTGCGACGTTGCTGTGCATTACAAGACCGAGGGATGTGAGGGAATATACTAAGGGGAAATGGTGTGCAGGGGAATGGAGTTGTAGAAGATCTTGGAAAAGTTTGACATTTGGGGCATCTTTAATCTCCACTTCCTTCTCACTAGTCTGGTATTAATTTTTCCAAAATAAATTATTACCATATATCCCATTAGCATAATTTGCTTATTCATTCTTTTATTTTATTGTTTTTAAAATATTTTTTTAGCTTTATAGAACAATTTGGAAGAGAATTTCAGATTCATAGAACAATTTGAAAGGCAATATACAGAATCCCTCATCACCACCAAACACGATTTTCCTCATTAGTAATATGACAATTATTATGCTGCATTTATTATAATTGATAGACTAAGATGATATAGTACTATTAAGTAAAGTCCATACTTTATTCAGAGTTTCAGAGTCTCTACCTAATTTCATTTTTGTTGTTGTTGTTCCAGCATTCCAATCAGAATACTATTAGTTGTCATGTCTCTTTAGGATCTTTGGGCCAAGGCAATTTATCGTACTTTTCTTATTTTGGATGAGTTGGACAGTTTTGAGGAGTAGTGGTCCGAGATTTTGTGAAATGCCTCTCAGTTAAGCTACGGTAATGATTTTTCTCATGATTAGAATGGGGTCATGTGTTTTAGGAAGCAAGTCACAGAGGTAAAGTGCCCTTTTCACCTCGCGGGTACAGGAGAGCACTAGCCACTTGACTTTATCTCTATTGATGCTGCTGCTGATCAACTGATTCAGGTGGTTCTCATTACGTTGTTCCAATCATTAAGTTGGGCAAATAAGACTTGCTCCCTTTTTTGAAGGGAGTAGGGTGGGGTGTGAGAATTATGCTTTGCATACTTTTTACCTTACAAATAATTATCTTAAGAAGGTCAGGGCTGTGAAGATATTAGGTTCTTCCTGCACACTGGAAACTGCATTTAGAAAAGTTCTTAATAATTTACATTCTTGTCAGAAATGCATAAAAACCACCAAAAATAAAAATAAAAGAAAACTTAGGGCCTCTAATACATGGCATGTGTTATCAAACAGAATTAAACACACACAGACAGCATAAGGAAATTTAGATGACTGGAATTTCTAAAAATACATTAATATATATTCAAATATTTCATTAAAAAGTAAACAGAGTAACTATAGAAGAGGGAAAACATTTTTGGCAGTTACATACCAAATAAGGGATTCATCTCTAAAAACTATCAAAAACATCAACAATAAAAAAACAACTAACGGAATTAAAAGATGGACACTTCCACTAAGAAGACATTTAGATGCCCAACAAACCCATAAAGAAAAGAAGCTCCCCGGCGAGGTTCCATGGTCTAGCAAGTAGCCCTGGGAAGTCATGCCCAGTGAGGAAAGTGGTGGGTTTTTAAAGGAGGGGCTGAGGAGGGTCCCTTTGGGAAAGGGTTGGGCTGAAGCTGCTGGAGATTTTCCACTGCTGTCGTTTTCCTTAGTCTAATTGTCCAGCCATTGCAGGTGGGGAGGAAAGACGGTTATCCTTGGAGCCAGTTCCAAGAATTGTCCATCAGCTTTGTTTCCTGGTATGTGCAGGGAGAAGGATTGAGGCCCTGACAGCCTGTCCCTGACCCAACAAGCATGGGTTACAACACAACGTAAAGACTAAAATCCTCACAACTAGACCAATAGGTGCCACCATGCCAAATGGAAAAGAGTGAAATTGTCAAGGTTGTCATCTTGCTTGGATCCATAATCAATGATGATGGAAGCAGCAGTCAAGAGATCAAAGGTTACATTGTATTAGGTAAATTTACTGCATAAAACCTTCTTAAAGCCTTAAAAAGCAAGGATGTTACTTTGAGGACTAACATGGACCTGACCCAAGCACTGTGTGCACTTTGTATATGTATGTGTATAAAAGCTTTATATGAAGAAGTACTTACTTATATATCAAGAAGGCATCTTAGCCTAGTCAAATCCATGTCTGATTATAAGTCTGATATTATCTGACCAGTGCCCTCTTCAGAGTCTTTTAGCTGCAGGTCCATGATGTGGTACAGTGAAGCGGGAAACTGGGAGATCATGGGCAGGTGAGTGCAGAGTCCCATATGGAAACCTAACAACGGGTTGACAGCACTCGGGATCGGTGCTCCATTATAGGCTGACTCTGGAGGCAGGCGGATTTCTAGCAAGCAGCAAGGCAAAGGGGCAGAGAGAGGGGGAAGTTACCAGTTTCTCTTTATAAACAGGGCACACCCCCAAGGAGGCATCAGCAGGCAGGTTAGAATCCACCCCTACAGCTTCCTACAAATTCAAGTTGACATAAAATTATCCAACTATGACACCATGGTACTTTCAATAGCTTCATATCCATGTGAAAGTTGGACCCTGATTAAGGATGACCAAAGATGAATTGACGGGGTTGCGTTATGGTGACGGGGTTGCGTTATGGTGACGGGGTTGAGTTATGGTGCTGGATAAGGATATTGAAGGTTCCGTGAGCTGCCAAAAGAATAAACAAACCTGTCTTGGAAGTGCAGCCAGAATGCTCCCTAGAGGCCAGGTGGCGAGACTTCGTTTCACATACTTGGATATATTAACAGGGGCAAGTCTCTGGAGGACACCATGCTCGATAAAGCGGAGGGGTATTGAAAAAGAGGAACGTCCTCGACAAGATGGATCGGCACAGTGGCTGGAACAATGGGCTCAAGCCCAAGAACAATTGTGAGGATGGTGCTGGACAGGCAGTGTTTTCTGTCGTTGCGCACAAAGTTGCTATGAGTCAGAACCACCTTGACGGCAGCCACCAACAGCAACAATGGACTCTGGACAATGTGTCTAGTAGGAGCTTTGCAGCCAATAAAACTAACATGCAAATTATCCTGTGACTGGTATTTAGGAAAGAGCATAGACCTTTAGGTCAGAACTAGATTTGAATCTTGGTGCATTAATTATTTTATGTTAGGCCTCGTGGAAGGTACTTGTTTTCTCAGTGACTTTTATTTCATTTGTAGAATGGGAATAAATGGTATTAACCTACAGATTAACCAAAACTATCTAAGTACACGCTTAGGGTACCAGAACAAGAGGGACATGATAACTAATCAAATTTAAAAATGATAAAACTATGTACAATAAACTTATCTAAAACAATTTATTTAGAACACTTATACTATTGATTTAATTATATATTCATATCTCATACTATGTTGAAAAAAATTAACTTTGAATTAGATAGGGAAACAGATGTCCATGTATTTAAATTTCTTGGTTATGCCTGGTTATATTTTTATTGTAAGAATGTAATAGAACTAAATGAATGAAAAGGATCTTGAACATTGATGACACAAAACAGGCTTTAAATCAAATTTAAGCTCTTTATCTTTTTCTGCCTTAGCCTATCTTTAAAACATTGGTAGACTAACCATCACCTCTCCTAATCCAAAAAGACATTGTGGCGTCAGAGAGATCAAGTAAAGCAATAAGCTGGTGATGTGCAGAGGGACACCACCAATCATCAGTCGATCTCTACTATGGCAGTTTTAGTGGGCACAGGGTCAGAGGGCCTGCATTTTCTCCTATGTCATTGAAACCAGCATTGAAGAAGGGCCTCAGAGGCCCACCAAAGGCACATTCAGAGAAGGTGTAGATGAGGGAGCCATGGTCAGTGACATTGTAGAAGGAAACAGTACAGGTGTCACAGTCCAGGAAAATCCCAACTTGGCATGGAGGCACTTGAAGGTGGAGCGAAGTCTTAGGGGAAGTGCCAGCTGCATACTGTCCTTTGTTGCACATCCAAACTGTCCAGAAGCCATTCTCAGGGCTGAGCAAGAAAGGGCCCTTTCTCTGCACAGAGTATCTGCAAACGCCCAGGTCCCAGGCTTTCTTTCCAGTCACATCTACTTCCCAGTACAGTTTTCCAGAGTCGAAGGACTGGGTCCCCAGGACCATGGGATAACTGTCAAACCTCTCTTCATTTTTAGGCAACTCCTGGCAGGTGTCTCCAAGTCTCACTTGTTTCAGATCTTCAGAAAGGATGAGCCACGGGTTGGCTGTGTTTGGATCCAGAGTGACATGTACTGTAGAGAGGAGATCACAGTCAGGTTGGGAGAGGGCAGGTGCTTACAGGGGCTCAGAGGGAATGACCAGTGGCCTGTGCATGTGTAAACTACAGGATGAGGATGAAGGCATGACTCAGCCTCAGTGTGTGAAGAAATGGCACCCCAGCAAATTCTGGCCCTGGTATTGATCTTCACTATCTCCATGCTGCCTTCCTTCCTGGACCCTGCCATCTCTGCTCCAGGCTGCTGCTCTCTCCCATGTTCGGCCTCAGGCCCGAATCCTCACTGTCTCCTTCTGCTCCCCAACAGGCCAGTGGAACAACCACTAGAGCTCATCTCACCTCCGCATGTCCTTAGCATCTTCTTCAGCCCAGGCACACAGCACTCACTGCTCAGGTCTGGGCAGTCAATGTCCACTTCCTTCATGTTCCAGGTCTCACTCCTGAAAGAAACCAGAGTTTGAGACCCACATCTCCAATTCCTGTCACCCACTTCTGGGACCAAACTGCCAGAAACCCCCTCGTGGATAATTGTGCCAATTTAATCCAACACAAATATATAAACCCCTCCTGAGTTCAGTTACTGTGTGTAGGAAATTCAGTTCGGATCCAGGAAGTCCTGATAACATGAGCTCTGCTGCATTCACATAGTTCCCATCTCTTCTCCAAGCCTGGTCACCGTCTAGGCACATTCTACTACATCTTATAAGCAAGGCCATCTGCTAAACGCTGCATCCCTTCTGCAATAATACTTGAGACATCTCACCCAGGCCGTGGCTGTTCCTTGTGGCTTTCTCTGGGGTTTGTAATTGGTTACATTCCATTGAAAAAAGGATGATCAGCAGGTTGTAGACCCAAAACATTTGAGAATGTCCCTGTGTGTCAGGGCTTCTCTTTGTGAAATTATTACAGTCCAATCACTGTGGCCAACTTGGCCACTGGGAGGCCCATAAACCAGCCGACTGAAACTAGGAAATACGTGATGGAGGAGCAGGTCTTTGAGACTAGGGAGGAGGGTCGGCAAAGTATTAGAACATGTTTTTCTAATGCATTAAACCTTTTTCTAGTGTATATTCTTCCTGCCATCCCCATCCCTTACAAAGAAAGTTTCTCCTTACCTTCCAAGGATACTTCCAATCCCCTGAAGAGAAAAGAGACAGAGAGTAAGTTCTAGAGTCTGGTTTACCACTGAGGCTTTAGTTCTAGGCGTGATGTGACCCATACTTGCAGTTTGGGCACTGCACCAGCCCCTTCTAAGGGCAGAAAACCATCGATGACCAGCCTGAGCTGAAAGGACATGTGGGTGGTTGTGGGGTGCAAAAATAATTTCTTTTAGAAAGATCCAGATAAGACTAGTCCCAATGAGGTGGAGATTTTTGAAGTAGATTGCTAGACCTTTCTTCCAAGGTGCCTCCGGGTGGACTCCGAACTCTCAACTTTATTCCCTTGTACCGCCCAGGAAATCTGCTGCATGGACTAGTCCCTCCTAAACCTGTCTTTCTGTGTCTTGAAGACAAACCATCAACGAATTCGTATGTGGCTTGTTTTATTTAAGAATATTTGAAGGATCCGGTTTCCATTTGTTCTCAGGGTAGACCGAGGGAACAAGCCCCACCCTCTCCTCTTCCATCTCACAGGGAGCCCTTGCTGGTCTCACCTGCAGCAGCTCCAGTGGGGAAGCCCGACTCCTTTGCTCCAGCTCAGAGATCAGCTCCTGCAGGGCCTGGCTTTGCTTGGCCAACTGGGCCTCCTTCTCCCCAAGGAGTCTCAGGTGAGCTCTCTCATTCTCCTCTAGTTTCTGCATTTGCCTCTGTTCCTCTTCAGCCAGAAAGTTTTTCTGCTGCACAAACTCTGTGTGAATCCTCAATTTTTGTGCCTCAACTTTTTTCTGTCATGTGAAGGGAAAGAAAGGTGTGAGAGGTGTGTTTCTTATCAGCATCAAGATTCAAGGATAATGGTGTGTGGCGCCTATTTCTGTCCTCTGCTAATTCACCACTCTGGTTTATTGGGCTAGAGAGACTAGTGGGTAAGGCATCTGGGACTAAAAGGGACTGGGATCGGTGGGGCCCAAAGAAACTGGCCCATAATCACAGCTGCAGCAGCCTAGGACAATCCTTCTTCCAAAAGCTAGTCACCTCTCAAATGTGTCCCTTCCCCTTCATTTCTTCACAAGTTATTGAAAGTTAACACCTATTTACTTACCACCCCCAACAGCCTCACACAGATAGGCTTACAATAATCCTACATCATGTGAAAAGGAAGTTTCTGGAGTATTTCTTGCTTGTCCTCCTTGGTTGGTGACTGGAGGGGTACTTCTTGACACTGCAATCCGAGTCCTCCCTTCCTCCTCATCCTCTTCTGGGATTAGTTGCCCACAAACCCTTCCCTCTCCTCTTCAGTCTCTGACCTGCCCCTCCTCCACTAGCAAATCATCAGTGTGAAACAAGCTTTAGTTCTCCACTATATTTTGAACCAGTGAGCTGGACATGGTCAAGCAACTCCCTGCTCAGGCTTTAAGCCCACTCTTCACAGCCCTTCTCCTTTATTAAGAGGCACAGTGGTTAGGCTTTTCTCTTGAGAGACCTGTGTGCCAGGCACCAACGTACTGACACTGTCATGTGCTGAGACTGGGCTCAGAAGAGCAGAGAGCTTTCGGGTATGTTTTCGCACCTCAGCAACCTCTCCTATAGACTCAGTCTTTGAGTTTGTTTGGAATTTCTCCTTCTAGCCACCTTCCTTTTTATACCCCTCATATCTGGAGATACAGAGGGTATCTGGTTCAAAGAGAGTGAGATATAGCAACTCCAAAACTATTCACACCGGGCCTTCCTGAGCTCAGGATCTTGAATTCTGCCCAGGCTTCTGAACTAAGATCTCTTTCAGGGTGACTCTTGCCTTCCAGGCTGCTCTCTTGTCAGTAACATCGACTTCCAACTTCTCGGCCAACTGCTGCTTTCTTCTCAGTGTTCTTAATGCCACCTGGAGCCTCTCCTGCAGAGAACGAGAGCAAGTTATTCTAGACTATGAAGTAGGGTACAGTAGCGTGGGGTGGGGGAAGGTCATTTTGGTTCTTAGAAAAGTCAAGGTGAAGAAAAGAATGGAGTACTAGAGTCTAGGTGGGGTAGGAATTCTTCGGATGGAAGATTTCATACAAAGTCTGATGTATTTTTGTACAGTAGAACCACAGGGTGAGGGAGCATTAATTACTTTCCTTTATTAACCAGGAAGCCACATGGAAACATGATCTTTGCAGTATTTCCCCATAACATATTCTCTTCTCTAAGGAATGAGAAAGTTATATTTAGTCTGCTGTTCTCGACTTAGATCAGACTTGGAGGGAGATACCCTTTCTCTCCTCAGTCCTTCAATGCCAGAGGCTGCTCTCCCCCATGCCAAGCCCCGGGGAACAACACATGAATCAGGGCCCATCTTGTGCTTGCCTGCTCATGCGTCATGCCTCACCTTGTATTCCTGGGCAGCGTCCCCAACAGGGACAACAGAGTGGTGATGGTGTTTCCGAGATTGGGCACACACCCAGCAAAGGACTTTCCCATCTTCCTCACAAAACAGGTGAAGTGTCTCTCCATGCACCTCACACGGATTCCCATTTGCATCCCTGTTGGCATTCTGGGCCATTTGTCTAAGGTTCTCCACCATGTTGGCCACCTGCCGATTTGGCCGGATGTTTTTGAGCAGAAATGTGTTCCGGCATATGGGGCAGGCACCACCCACACTGTTCCCAGCCTGAGAGATGCATTCTTGGCAGAAGCTGTGGCCACATTCGATGCTCACAGGTTCCACCATGGGATCCAGGCAGATAGCACAAGTGACCTCCTCCCACAAATTTGCCATCGGAGTTGGTGAGGCCATAGGGGCAATAGGCCTCCTAAATCACACCACAGAGATCTTGTACGGAACTAGTGGGGGGAGGAAAAAGGAAAGGAAGAGTTGTGTGAGAAAAACACAATTCAAAAGGAAACACAGAGGAAGTAAAAGCAAGAACATTAATCTGAATAACAAGGACTTTTCTCTATAGTCTGACCAGACAGAAGGGGACCCTTACGTCTTTAAAAGGTGGTGGAAATTGCCCAAAACACTTTACACATCACACAGTTTACCACTGTACTTTCTCGTGTCCGCCTCGTCATAAACCCTTCAAAAGTTTCTTGTTACAATCCAAAGGAACAACAATCCAACTATCAGGGAGGAATGACAAAAGGAAGGAAGAAAGGAAGAGATTATGGGATGGAAAATAAGTCCTTTGCCTAGCCTACGACTGAGTCCATTCAAATATACCAAGCTGGCTATCTGAGGCATGCCCAGTAGCTAATATGGCTGGAAGGGAGGTCAAGTGGGAGTGGCTGAGTTAGGGGCCTGTGGAGTTCCCAGTCTTCACACTGGGCTCATGTCTACAAATCGCCACTTTGAGAATCCTTCTGATGATTTAATATAAAGATTTCTCTCAGTACTCAGGCTTTTTCCATCTTAGTGTCACGGTTACTCATTGGGCTGCTAACTTCAAGGTCGGCAGTTTGAAAGCCCCAGTTGCTCCCTGGGGGAAAGATTAGACTTTCTACTCCCAGAAACATTTACAGTCTTGGAAACTCACAGGGGCAGTTCTACCCTGTCCTACAGGGTTGCTTGCTATGGGTCGGCATCGACTAGATGGAGTGAGTTTGTCCCCCCCATCTTATACAATCAACCATGGATTTTGCTGAGAAGTTAATCAGACGGTAAACTAGATGCTATGGAGTCCACCCTGAATGGGGCAACCCCGTGTGTAATTGCTTCCAGGGCTTCATTCAGGGGACTGGAACATTTCAATAGCTTTTCAATGGCCATGCTGTCAATTCCTGGAGCCCTAATTTTTGCTAATGCCTTCAGTGCAGCTCAGTCTTCTTCCTTCGGTACCACTGGTTCTTGATCACATACTATTTTGTGACATGGTTGGATGTTGACTAGTTCTTTTTGACACAGGACTCTGTGAATTTCTTCCATCTTCTTTGGATGCTTCCTTCATTGTTCAATATTTTGCCCATAGAGTCTTTTAATAATGCCATTCCAGGCATGGGTTTTTTCTTCTGTTCTTTTTGCTTCACATGTGCTGAGTATGGCCTTTCTTTTTGGTTTTCTAATAGCAGGTCTTTACACATTTCATTATACTACTTTGTCTTCTAGAGCGGCCCTTTGAAAATTTCTGTTCACCTATTTACTTTAGTTGCTCTACAATCAAGGGCAAGTTTCAGAATCTCTTCTGACATTCACTTTGATATTTTGTTTTCTTCAACATCCTCCCACAGCTTGTTAGTCTCTTGTCATTTGCATTCAATAAGTCAAATCTGTTCTTGAGATGTTCTTCAAATTCAGGGGGGATAAACTCAAGGTCATGTTTTGGGTTCCATGGATTTAATTTTTTTCAACTTTAACTTACATAGAAATAATTGATGGTACATTGCAGTCAGCCCCTGGCCATGTTCCGGCTGCTGATATTGGGCTTCTTCTTACAGATGTGGTCAATTTTATTTTTGGAGCAGTCCCATCAGATAAGTTTACATGTGTAGTTGCGATTCATGTTGTTGAAGAAAGGTATTTTAAGTGAAAAATGTGTGGGTCTTGCAAAATTCTATCACGTGATTTCGAGTTTTATTTCTATCACCAGGGTCATATTTTTGAACTATAGTTCCTTCTTCTTTGTTTCCTCCTTTGGTATTCCAATTGCCAATAATTATCAATGCATCTTGATTGTGTGTCTGATCAAATCCAGACTGAAGATGGTAGAATTCTCCAATTTCTTCATCATTAGTGTTAGTGGCTGGTGCATACATTTGAATAACAGTTGTATTTCTGTGGTAGTTATATAATCATTTGTCAACTTGAGAGAATTACGAGTGAAGGGGTGGATTCTAGTCTGTCAATCGGATCATAGTCAATGACACCTCTGTGTGGGCATGGCCTTCTCCTGGGAATTCTGGGAAATCCAGTATTTCCTCTTTGGAGGTGGGAGACTCTCTGCTCACACCCTGGGAGACAGTTCTTTCTCTGACGCTCCCTGGGAGACATAGCAGCTGACAAGACACATGGACCCACCCTGATGCAGAGAACCCTGCTAGCATGGAGATGTTTCCAATGCAGAGACTCCTACCAGCGCTGACATAGATGCTTACACCAGTGGATCCAAAGACTTTCTACCCACTGGCCTGTGATCTTCTACATTCGGTGTCATTGCATGTGTTTCATGAGTCTGAACAGGACTTTATAGATTGGCATTGGACATATGGGCTAAAATCAGATTTATGGCCTTGGTCTGGACTGGGCTGGGATGTTTTCTGAATGTTCAATTGCTCTTGCATATGAATCTCTCTCTTATGCATATATGCGTGTCCATGGATTGGATTCTCTAGTCTACCCAGACTGACACAACGTCCTTGAATGTGGATAGACATAATCCTCTCACAGGCAGGATAGATCTTGACGTGTCCTTTTGGACACCATTCTTGAACGTGTTGTTCCCGGCATAGTAAACCATATGACGACATGACTCAGAGTGGCTACTACTCATCCATTTCAGCTCACTAATGCCTAGGATTTCCATCTTTAGGTACTCTCTTTCATTTTTGATAACTGTCAAGCTTCCTAGATTCTTATACATACATGCATGTATACATATACAATAACAACACACTCAATAATTTACAGAACGTTACACAAACTGCAAAATGAATAAAAGAAATGGCCAGGAAGGGAGAGAAAGGCATTTGGATGGTTTGCTTTAGAAGGGTAAAGTAGTGGGCGAAAGCCACTTGCTGGTGAAGGGACGCCAGGTTGGGTGCATGAAAAACTGTGGCCAGCACTCTCTGGGCTGCGCTCAGCTAGGCGGTTCCTGTCTTCATGTCCTCTAGGGCAGTGACCGGCTCAACCCTCCGCCAGCGTACATCCTAATTTAAAACACTGAACTCCCCTACCTACCACTCTCACCTCCAGAGATGGATTTCTGGAAATGAGAAAATAACAGCCACCCCCCAAACCAAACCCATGGCATGCGTTGGCTTCCACTCCTAGTGAAACTCTATAGGGTCTACTCTACAGGACTCTAGAAAGTACATCTTAGCAGCCATTTTCCTCCTGGCTCCTGAAAAGCAGCTGGTGGATTCGAAC